TCAGACATAATGCTATCGCATACTTAATAGTATAGTATAGTATAAACATAATTTTTATATGCACTGCACTGGGAAACCAGAAAATTTGTGTGACTTGCTTCATGGGGTGGTCTGAAACTGACCTCACAATATCTCTGAGGTATGCCTGTACTTACTTGTTACAATTCCAGCCAAAGCAAAAACAAACTGATTTTCATCCGAGTCGAGTTCCTTAACATCACCATCCAGTGACTTCACAAAACTCTCCATTGTTTGACCAGTGATGCTGAAAAACTTCAAAGCTTTATCCTGAAAGTTTGGAAATGAAAGGGTCATACCTTTTCACAGATACCAGCAGGAAAAAACACTTTAAAAGTGCAGGATATAGAGGAAAGATTCTGATTTTAATTACAGAAGCAATATTTTAAAATCTATTCCTTCATTAAAAGTTCCCTTTAAGGTTGAGCATGATAGCTCATGCCTGTAATCCCAGCACCCGGGCTCAAGCAACCCTCCCGCCTCAGCCTCCCAAGTAGCTGGGATTACAGGTACGAGCCACTGCACCCAGCTTAGCACAACTTTTCTTCAAAAAAAAAATCTTAACTGAAACCTCAACATATGAAAGAGATAAAGGCTGACTCCTCTAGCAGTTTAAATCTTCATTACTTGGCAAAAAATATTTCTAAGTTTGAAGAACCTTTGTATTATAATACTTTCTTCAGAGCACCAGGATTCTGAAGAATAATTTAAAAACCAATACACATTTTTTTTTTTTTTGAGATAGAGTCTCACTGTGTTGCCCAGGCTAGAGTGCCGTGGCGTCAGCCTAGCTCACAGCAACCTCAAACTCCTGGGCTCAAGTGATCCTTCTGCCTCAGCCTCCCGAGTAGCTGGGACTACAGGCATGCGCCACCATGTCCGGCTAATTTTTTTTGTATATTTTTAGCTGTCCAATTAATTTCTTTCTATTTTTAGTAGAGACGGGGTCTCGCTCTTGCTCAGGCTGGTCTCGAACTCCTCATATTGAGCTATCCACCTGCCTCGGCCTCCCAGAGTGCTAGGATTACAGGAGTGAGAAAGGCCTATTTCAAATCCATCCCCTTCTGTGAAGTTCCGTGGTACACACATGCATGCGCGTGCGCACACACACTAACAACTGACCCTTGAACAACACGGGTTTGAACTGCTCGACTGTGCAGGTCCACTTACATGTGAATTTTTTCCAACAAAAGTTACACAGCACGTGCCTGCCTCCCCTTCCACTTCCTCCACCTCTGCTACCCAGAGACGGCACCACCAACCCCTCCTCTTTGTCTTCCTCCTCAGCCTACCGAATGTGAAGATGACAAGGATGAAGACCTTTATGATGGTCCACTTCCGTTTAATGAATACTAAATATATTTTCTCTTCCTTATGATTTTTCTTAATAACATTTTGTCTCTAGCTTACTTTATTGTAAAAATACAGTATCTGATACACATAACATATAAAATATGTGTCAGTCGACTGTTTTACGTTATCAGTAATGGTGCTGATCGACAGTTGGATATTGGTAGTTAACTTTTTGGTGAGTCAAAAGTTATACACAGATGTTCAACTGTGCATGGGATTGGTGCCCCTAATCCTGCGCTGTTCAAAAGTCAACTACAAACACGCCTCTACACATATGTATATATGTTAAATAACATAACATTCAATACGTTATTTATTACATTAGCCATGAGATAATATATATATAAGCACTTTAAACCTTCTTAAACTCATGTACATGTAAAGTAATAAAACTGAAGTGGTAATATACACATATACCACACACGTTTCTAGAGAGAAGGGAATCTCATTTCATTCATTTTACATGCCCCCAGAGTACCAGCTTACAATGGACCACACGTAGCAGGTATTCGATAACTATCTGATGAATGAACAGAAGCAAATGGACAGGCAGGCATGGTGGCTCATGCCTGTAATCCCAGCACTTTGGGAGGCCAAGGCAGGGGGATCGCTTGAGGCCAGGAGTTCGAGACCAGCCTGGGCAACATGGTGAGACCCTATCTCTATAAAAAAAAAATTAAAAATTAGCCAGGCATGGTGGCACACATCTGTAATCCCAGCTACTCAAGAGACTGAGGCAGGAGGATTGCTTGAGCCCAGGAGTTTGAGGCTGCAGTGAGCTATGATCAGGCCACTGTACTCCAGCCTGGGCGACAGAGCAAGACCCCATCTCTTAAAAAAAAAAAAAAGATATGAATTCAGTCTCTAAATGCCTTTACAGACAGGCCGCATCTTCTGAGTTACAGAAGCACTCATCAACAATATCGAGACTGCCCGCCAGTCATGCTTACTCCTCCCAAAATGGCTTTGACAACTTCCTCGCTGCTGGAGGCACCCCACAAGAGGGTACATGCTGCTGCTCCCATTTCTGTACAATACTCTGCCTGCTGCAGGAGTTGCTGTTTTGCTTCATTTAGCTGCTGTCGAAGAGCCAGTTTCTCCTGAAATCGAAACAAAATAAAATCATAAAAATGAATAGCATTCAATCTTCAAATATCTCTATTACATTCCTCTTTCACAAAGACATTTATTAAAGAAATGTATAGGCTGGGCACGGTGGCTCATGCCTGTAATCCTAGCTCTCTGGGAGGCCAAGGCGGGTGGCCTGTTTGAGCTCAGGAGCTCGAAATCAGCCTGAGCAAGAGCAAGACCCCGTCTCTACTAAAAATAGAAAGAAATTAATTGGACAACTAAAAATATATAGAAAAAACTAGCCAGGCATGGTGGCGCATGCCTGTAGTCCCAGCTACTCGGGAGGCTGAGGCAGGAGGATCGCTTGAGCCCAGGAGTTTCAGGTTGCTGTGAGCTAGGATGACGCCACGGCACTCTAGCCCGGGCAACACAGTGAGACTCTGTCTCAAAAAAAAAAAAAGAAATGTATACAGAATTGTAGAAAACAGTTACAAATGAAAGCTAGTCCTGAGAGAGCTATAATCCATATTTAAAAAATAAAATTCAGAGGAAACATTTCACTCTTAGAAAAGAACATACTATTGCATTATGGTTTATAAATAGCCCCAAAGATCTGAATTCATCTGCTTGAAGTCAAGTGAAAACATGAGACATCTGAAGTCCCAAGTGGCTACACCCAGCACCAGTACCAACTGGGACTCCTAAACGAAGTAACAACCCAACCTGGCATCTACACACAGAGCAACATTTCTAATAAGGAGCTGCTGCCTCCAAATGGCGCACTCCATTGTAAGCAACACCATCTGCCAGAGGCAGACACCAAATAAAAGGCACTTGGATGCCCAGTAGTATTTGAGGGAAAGAAGGACTGCAGAAAGACTCAGTCTCTGTAAATACATCCTTAAATCCTCAGGAGAATATTGCCATAGGTGCTAGTAAATATGAAATACATATCTGTGAGCTAAACAAGGAAGGAAAACCAGAACTGAGACCAGGTAGGAGAGATGGGAGCAGGCGTGGAGGGAATGTGAAGACAGGCCTCCTAGATGTGCAGCACATCGAGCCAGCGCCAGCGTAACAACAACAGGGGCCAGCAACAGGCTCTCACTCTCCCACCAGCAGCGTCTGAGAACACCTGAAGCCGGGCAGGTCTCTGCGAGGGCGCTCTTCACAAGAGAGGCAGGGAACTGCCCTCCTCTTGGCCGCTCTGACCACACAAGCACATCTTGAAGACTGACGACCTTCAGGTGGGCCTGGGGTGACGCTTCCTGCCCTCCCCAGCCACCAGCACAAGCATCACTCCTGTGACCTGACATTCCTTCAAAGGTTATCGCATTTCCTGATTTAATAAGCAAAAAACCAAAAAACATAAAAACCTAGTTTAATTCATTTATACCAAATATAATTAGTTAAGCAAACCACAAAGTTAAAGTATGTAAAATGTTTTAGACTTCTCTTTTAGAGAGGTGAGTACAGGACAATTAAAGTAGAGGGGGCTTTTCACTTGGGGGGAAAGGGAATTTTGGGGCCAGGAATCAAACATTGTCAACCTACAAATTGATGCAGGATGGCCCACTCCTATCTACCTGGAGACAATGTGTTTGGCATACAGAGCTTTATACACACCCATACATACATACACACACTTATTTAAGGTGAAAAATGGTCATTGAGCCTAGGACACATGCTAATACTGATTCATGTGATGTATAACCTCTGAGTTTTTAACATCTCACTTCATCATAACAACAATGTGGATTCCAAATTTGTCCTTCAGATGTACGTAGCTGAACTGACTCAAGTCATGGTGACACATAGAAAAATTGTATCACAGCATTTGCTTTTCAAATTCTAGCCAGGTTTTCTCACAATTGAAGCAGTCTGCATTCCAATTAATCTAGGTATGGTGGTTCTTCTACAAGACCACAAAAGAACTGTTGAGAATGACCAGGCTAGACTTTTCCTCACTATAGTCACCCTTCATAGTTGCAGGAGAATATGTCCCAATACAGAGCTGCACACACAAAACAATAATATCAAAAGAAACTCAAAGAAAACTATTCCATTCCCAATAACATCAAAAGTAAGAAAATAGGAATAACTTAAGAAAAGGACTGTAAGACTTGCACAGTAAAAATGATAAAGTATTAGAGAAAGTGAAGAAGATCTATATAAACGGAGAGGTATGCCATGTTCACAGATGGGAGGGCTCAATATTAGTAAGATGGCAATTCTCCCCACATTGATCCACAGATTCAACGCAATCCCTATCAAAATCTCAGCAGGCTTTTTTGTACTAAGTGATAATCTGATTCTAAAATCCATATGGAAATGCAAAAGACTCAGACTATACAAAAAATTGTTTGGAAAAGAAAAACAATATTAGAGGACTAACACTGCCTGATTAAAAAAATACTTATTATAAAGCTACAGAAATCAAAACAGCATAGTATTGGCATAAGGATGAGCATATAGATCAATGAAACACCGATATTTATGTCAATCAATTTTTAACAAAGGTGCCAAGGCAATTCAATGGAAAAAAGACAGTCTTTTCAACAACTGATGCTAAAACAACTATTCCTATGCAAAAAAAAATTAATTCGAACTGAACCACAGACCTAAATATAAACTTCTCAAAGAAAATATTTGTGACTATGGTCTAGGCAAATATTTCTCAGATACCACAACAAAATCATGATCTATCAAAAAAATAATAAATTGAACTCCATCAAAATCTAAAACTTTTACTCTTCAAAAAAACACCATTAAGGCCAGGCGCGGTGGCTCACGCCTGTAATCCTAGCACTCTGGGAGGCCAAGGCCGGCAGATCGTTCAAGCTCAGGAGTTTGAGACCAGCCTGAGCAAGAGCGAGACCTCGTCTCTACTAAAAATGGAAAGAAATTAGCTGGACAACTAAAAATAGATAGAAAAAATTAGCTGGGCATGGTGGCGCATGGCTGTAGTCCCAGCTACGCAGGAGGCTGAGGCAGGAGGATCGCTTGAGCCCAGGAGTTTGAGGTTGCTGTGAGCTAGGCTGA